TACTACTAGTACTAGTACTACTACTCCTACTACTACTACTACTACTACTACTACTACCACTACCACTACCACTTGTACTACTACTACTACTACTACTACTACAACCATCACCACCACCACCACCACCACCACCACCACCACCACCACCTCCACCACCACCACCACCACCACCACCACCACCACCACCACCACTGTCACTCTTGCTACTACTGCTACGACGACGACTACTACAACGAAACTACGTTGACTTCTTCTTCTCCCAGTGCTGCTGCTACTACGACGACGACGACTACTACCTGTGCTACAATCTCACTACTGCTACTACTAAGTAACTTTACACAGAACTCTTAATGATCCGTCTGAAACCCTTCGGAACCCTTCCGTTTCCCTTATGGAGACCTTTAACACGAAGATTTCCGGTGCATAACCTAGAATAATAAACCTTATACACACCCGTATATAAACCCTACAACCCTCTGTAACACCCAAAACCAACCAACACCCAAAACGAACCTTTAAACAAGTGCACTAAAAGCTGGTCGGCGCTTCGGCGGTATCTTCACCACCAACTTGCTGCTCAGGCTTCCTTCTCGGATACAGGGTCTTTGGGGGCTTGTGTTATGGTTTAGGGTTTGGGGTTAGGGTTTAGGGCTGAGGGTTGGGGAACAAGGGTTCAAGGGTCTTTCATGGACATAAGGTTAGGGGCTTGCGGTGGCAATTGGGTTTTGTTTGACGGAAGCTTTGGTAACGGTTGTAGGCAGTATGGGATTACAAGGCTATCTTGCAGGCTTTATTCCCCAGCTAGTGTCTCTGCGCAAACTTCTTTGATTGGAGGTAACCCAATTCGCAAGGTGTAGGTGTAGCCAAAGGCACTGGCGCTAAGTCCACCTGGTTAACAAGCGCAATAAATCCGAAACCCAAAACCTCAAAAACCTTGATAATTAACCGGCCCTGAACCCAAAACCCCCAAACCTTAAAACCCGCAACCCTCACTAAATCCCAAGCACGAAACCCCTAAACCCTAAACCTTAAACCCTAAACCCCAAGATCTTAAACCCTAAACCGAACCCGGCTTTCGAATGTAAATTCCCTGATTCAGGTTCGTAGGGCCCCAAGAAAGCTTCGGGGTTCCTTTAAGGGTTTAGGGTTTAGTGTCTACTTGGAGGTTCATGGGGCTTTGTATGTACAGTTGGGGTTCAGGGTTCATAGGACACCAAAAAAGCACATAAGCAAAAACTTGGATAGGGATATCCCATATAAATCCCCTTATAAGCGAAGCCCAATAAGGTAGGGATACCCCGGATATCCCTATAACATGCTATGCTTATGTCCTTTGCGGGTCCTAGATTGAGGGCCTCTGGGTAGCCGGCATATTCTTTGGCGTGCACGGTGTTTTAAGGTTTAGGGATTAGGGCCTGTAGGGTTTCTTTTGAGGCTTCCTTCAAGGGTTCCTACAAGGGTTCCTAGAAGGGTTAGGAAGGGTTAGGGTCAGGGGTTTAGGGTTTAGGGTGCGTGCCTGTAAAGTTTTTGTAAAGGGTTGTTCTATGGGTTCTATGGGGTTTAGGTGTAGGGTATGAGGACGACATGTTTAGGGTGCCATTAAAGGTTCCTTTTCGAAGAGTGCCGCCGATTTTGGCCACCTGAAGAGGGAACCTACTTTAGTGAATTAGCCATACGCGGATCAATAGCATAAGGGTATAGTTAGCATAGTACAACCCTAAACCCTAAACCCTGAACCCTAAACCCTAAACCCTAAACCCGAAGGCCCCTGCTCTTTTCAGGTGTCATGTGGTCCTCAAGGTATCGAAGGGCTTGGGGCCATAAGAAGTAGGGTTTAGGGTTTAGGGTTTAGGGTTTAGGGTTTAGGGTTTAGGGTTTAGGGAAAGCCGGAGTCCCACCGCTGTTTCTTTGAACCTTCTGCTTCTCATGAAGCTCCGATACCTTAAAGCCTAAACCTCTATAAAACCCCAGTATACCTACGATTTTGTCGGTTTTTCGGCTTCAGGTAAACGCAACCCCTCAAACCCTAAACTTGCCCTAGACCCTAAACCCAAAACCCTAGACCCTAAACCCTAAGCCCTAAACCCCCGAAGCCCTAAACCCTCCAGGCTTCTTAGAAAGGCATGACCCGGCCGAACGCAAGCAACCCAGCGGTAGTCAGGATCTACTTGTAGAATCCCGGAACAGCGGCCTATCCTAGGGTTTAGGGTTTAGGATTTAGGGTTTAGGGTTCAGGGTTCAGGGTTTAGGGTTTAGGGTCTAACCCCAAAAAGCTGATTCCCTGTTGGGGCTGTATTAAAAATGATCATTGTTAATCCTTGTTGGGTTTTATTACAACAAACATTGTAAAATTGTATCCAAAAAGGACGCAGAAAAGATAGGACCCCCTGTTTTTTTTTGGGGGGGGTTCTAGTCAACAAAGGCAGATGCCCTTGATGCAAGCAGAGGGTCAATAGCAGCCAGACTCAATGAGCTCGCGGTTCACGTTCTTGTCAATATCGCTCAGGAGCCTCCGCTACATAGGAGTAGAGTGGCCCAGGGTATACAGATCAGAATCCATAAAAAAAAAAAAACCTAAACCATGTTCCTCGACTCTTTGACTCTTTAAATTTAGGAGCTGCTCAGTCAACCCTAACCCCGAAACCCTGAACCGTTGCTTCTGGTGGCTTGAACCCAAACCTTCCAAAATCACAGAAATACCCTAAACCCTAAAACCCTAAACCCTCAACCCTAAACCCTAAAACCCTAAACCCTAAACCCTAAAACCCTAAACCCAAAGCCCTATTCCTCAACTCTTCGACTTTTTTTATTTAGGAGCTGCTCAGGCAACCCTAACCCCCGTTGCTTCAGGTGGCTTGAACCCAAATCTCCCAAAATTCCTGAAATAGGGTTTAGGGTTTAGGGTTTAGGGTTTAGGGTTTAGGGTTTAGGGTTTTGGGTATTTTACCTTAAAGTAGGATCTCTGTTTGATTTATTTTCTATCTAAACCTTAAACCCTAAAGCCTGAACTTCTGTGGCTTGTGAAAAGAGCAACCGCTTTTCACCAAGCCTTGCCAAAACGGACCCCACATCGCAAGAGCCTCGAGACACCCTAAAACCCTACACACTACAGTTTAAGGTTTAAGGCTATTAAGGGTTTAGGAGTTTAGGGGTTTAGGGTTTAGGGCTATTTAGGGTTTAGGTGTATAGGGTTCAGGGCTATTTAGAGTTTAGGGGTTTGGGGTTTAGGGCTTAGGGAGCTCTAATATAAGACTCCCCTGTAGAAGCCTTAACTATACGCTCTGTTGAAGGAGCCCTCGCAAGAACTGAAAAGCATCCGATTGAACTTCGGGCTCTTTATGGGAGGGGGGGTGCAATGGCGGGTAGATAACCTAGACCCTAAGCCCTAAATCTAGTACTTTCTGATTCTCCCTAGCATTCTGTAAGGTTCCCTTGTTGTTTCCTAAGGATCCCTTCGTCCCTTCTTGAACCACCCGTTTTAGGATTTAGGGTTCAGCATTTAGGGTTTAGGGTTCAGGGTTTAGGGCTTAGGGTTTAGGGTTCAGGGTTTAGGGGTTTAGGCACCNNAAACCCTAAACCCTAAACCTGACCTTGAGCCATTCAGTCAGGATCTTCAGAGCTTGAAGTTAAGGGCTTGGGGGTTCAGAAGCCTTATCGGCGGGGAAACTCTTCCTAGGTATTACGGTTTAGGGTTTAGGG